TTTTTTTTTTTTTTTATTGTCTGCACATTGGGACATGTTCACTTCGTGTGTTATCAATTATATGACCCTTTTTACGCCCTTTTTTTATGCCCATTTAACCAACTCGGAAAAAGCAACCACCGTGTGTTGTGTACGCATTTGACACACACAGGATTGAACAAAATGTCATTCGTTTGAGTTTAAAAAAAAAAAAAAAAAAAGTTTGATGCGTTCTTACGCCAAACGGGAGGGGTAGGCAAAAGCAAAATCTCCCCACTACACACACTTGTGAGGGAAGCCACAGCGGGTTTGTGTGTGTGTGCTAGGCCTCTACAATACATTTATTTGAACATTACCTGTCAACACATCCCACTTGTTAATATGTGCCCCTACGGTAGGCCTAGGATAACGGGAGCCGGTCGACCAAACGCCCGAAATACCTGCACAGGTATGCTGAATCGGGTCTACAAGTGGGTTCCGGGTTAAGGCACTGGCGCATGACCAACAGGACGTTACTTACTACCAAGTGGAAGAGCTTCCTATTAGAAAACTTCTCATGCAATTTATTCACATCGATGTAAATGTATTTCTGGTGAAAGCAAGTGGACAACCAAAAGAAGTATGGCACGTAGTTACTCCTGAATGGCAAACCACCAAACAGAACTTCATACATCACAACTCCAAATGCGTAGATGTCACACTTGTCTGTGTACTCTTCTTCTCTTAGCACTTCTGGTGCGGCATAGGGATCATCACAACGGACATTTCGCTTTTCGAATTTTTTAGCTTGGAAGAGTAACAGAGGAGAGGTCATCATGGTGTTAATATTTTTTATTTCATTCATGCAAGTTATGTATGGTAAAGGCAAATTCATTTTTTCTCCCTCCAGGGGCGTATGCCGGATGATGCGTTTGGTTCTTGCATTTGTGATAGTGACCCCGTCCACGTGGTGCTTTTCTGTTCCACCTGTCTCCGCGTCTGGCCAGCCGTGCGACCCGTACGACCCCTCGCTCCATTCGCCAAGGTGACTCCCCGCTCGTGCATTCACCTTATAATCGTAGTAACATTCTATTGAAGCCTTTTCAAAGTTACACAGCTTGATGCCTCCCCCATCTTCCGACACGAATATATTTTGGCTGTTTATACTTCCATGAACGACCCGTTTACTATGTAGGTAAAATAGCGCTGATGCGATTTCGTAAAAAAGCTTAATAATATTCTCATTTGTTAGTTCCTTCCTGCCCACCTCACCCCTTCCTCTTCCTCGTCCTCCATCCCCTCCGCACGTTTGTCCTTTCCCCTGCTGAGGGGTATGTACAATATTGTATATTGCATCGTGGAGGCACATGCCGCTAAGGAATTCAAAAACCAAACCGAACTTTTCCTTCTTCCTACTTATAACATTCCCTATGTATGTGATCACATTGGGGTGTCTCAAATTAGAGAGGACGAAATGCTCCCTCATGAATTCTGTTCTTCGTTGGATCCTCTCCATCACAGTTGCTGGTTTGTCCTGTGTGTCCTCCTCCTTTTCACTTTTCTTGTTTTGTTTCTTTCCTTCCACTTGGATCCTGCGATGAAGATCCCCTCCTTTCAACCCCTTAAAAATTTTGTGAGACTCCAGGTTGACCAAGTTACTTTTTATGCTGGCCCAACCGTCTAGGATGCTTTCCCCTAAGTTGTTAAGCTTCTGCTCATCGAACAGAAACTTTTGCACCTCGGTTAGGAGTGTATTATCTATGCGGGCGTGGGCCTCTTCGTCATGCTCAACTGGGCTCGAGTCACCGTCTGCTACGTCACCCCCAACTGGGCTCGAGTCACATTCTACACCATCCAACTCGTCACCTGACGCCCCTCTGGTCGCCTCACCCTGTGACCTCTCCTTCGTTGAAAACATTTTCAACCTCATGGGGGCGTTTGCATAGTAACACAGGTACGATACCTTGCCAGTCCCATGTCTGCCCAAGCGCCTAAGCACAACCAACTCCGATTTGGGGATGGAGCTGAAGGTTACCAATGGGTCTCCTCTTATGTTCCCCCAGCTGACGAGCATTTGCAGGTACGTATTATGTAGACTGCTAAATGCGTTTACAAAATTGAGCAGGAAGTATATGTGCTCATTTTTTTCCACCCCCAGCATCTTAAGCATTTTCCTATTTAAGGTGAAGAAATGAAATCCATTCACCTGATTCGACTTGAAAGCCGCTATGTAATTGTGCAGGCCGAACAAGTGAAGAAAAACAAATATGTGGTAACTCCTCCATTGGTAAATGCACTCGATTTTGTTCTTCTCGTTTTTATATTTTAAGTAGCCCAGCAGGCGTTGAAGCATTGGCCGTGTTGACCTTGTTAGCGGTGTTCGCTGTTTTAGCGGCGTGTGGGTCATTGACGACCCTTTCGCCCTCTGCCTCTTCATCCGTGCCATTCCCTTTCTCGGCCCCGCAATGGCTTTTCCACACAGCGTGCTCCTATCAAGTGCCTCCTTGCTTGACACACATTGTGTGGACTCTCCGCTTTCCCACTGGGCACCACCCCTACACTCTGCAGTCGATGCACTGGGCCCATTCGAGAAGCTACTTTCCCCGTGGGCCCCGCCACAACCCTGAACCCTAGAACATGCACCACCCACAAGTAGCTTATACAATTTTAATCTCCTTCCTTTCTCCTCCTGTCTCTTGTGTGTTGTTATCCTCTTTTCCCTCGCACCGATGTTTGAATGCACAGCTGAGCGAATCGGTGTCCTTATTTTTTTCTTCACTTTAAAGTGCCGTTCGGGGGAGGAGGCACTGGATGGAGTCACGTCCGGGCAGAAATCGCTTTCACTCTCCGGATCAGAATTGTAAAGAAGTAGGTGCGTCAATTTAAGGGGCGGAGTGCACTTGGGAAAATCATTTGAGTTATACATATAGTGTGTATCCCTCACCGATGCGTCTGCGAAGGGAGAGCGTGTTCCCTCATTAGTGGTGCGATGCTTGGTTGAACCTTTTGCTGCCTCCCTCGAGGAAACATCCCCCCGTAGATCGACACCCTCGTGAAATGGAAAAAAATTACAATCCCTGTGCTCGTTAGTCTCCCCCTTGGGGGGGGAATTACCAATTGAGTCATTCGTGCTGCCCACACTACAGTCTGGTTGTACATTGTCCCCTACTCCTTCTTTCGCCCCTTTGCTAATTAGCCCCTTGAGGAAATTTATCCTCGACTCGTAATTTACGTAGCTTAAGAGGCCTCCAATGGGGCTGTCCTTTCCCCGCCCTTTTGTAAAAAATTGCACAAACGATATGTCTACGCCAAAGAGGTGGTCGAATATTTGCTTGCGCACAAAACGTGAAATGGAACTGTGTTCCGTGTACACGGGAAAAAAGGCACTTAAATTTTCCTTCAAAAAAAGTTTGTCCTTTTTATAATAATGAAAATATATGTCCATATGTTTGGTAATTTTAATTTTGCATTTTTTCCTGTTTGATTTGAAAAGACAAAAGTTGTAACTGCTTTTTTTTTTTAATATTCCTACTCCATTTATGAGCCCAAATTTGTACGTCCCAAGGAAGAGCTGCTCATTTTTGTATGTGCATCCAAAGCCGTGGGAAATATTGTTCAGCCATTCGCCTGCAGAGGTTTTGAAGTTTCGTTTTTTTTTTTATTTTTCATTTTGTTATAAAAAATTATTTTGTTGTCACACTAAGCGGGAGGGGCAAACACCAGCTGCTCGAAAAATGGCAAAGCCACCCCCAAATGGCGACGCTACAAAATGGAAACCGTTGGCGCACTCACCAGAGTAGACAACTCCCTGAGGGTTATACAACGTCCCGTATCCGCTCTTCGCGTTGTCGATCCATTCGCTGCATTGGAAGGGAGGTGAAGATGATGCACTTGGTGACTACCGGTGTGGGAGTAGATAGGTCACGGGGACCCCGCGCCCGCAACAAATCGCACAGAGCACGCTGCACAGAAGAGGCTGCACCGAGAACTCACCCCTGGTAGACACTCCGAATCTCCTTGTAGATGTAGAACCCGTAGCCGTGTCGCTTCTTATTTCTGGTCGTGCCAATGTAAACATCCCCATTGTGATATTCTAACTTTGGGAGGAAAAAAAAAAAAAAAAAAAAAAAAAGGGTTAACAGCGTGTAGCCAAATGGGGCAAATCGGTCGTAACAGATTGGTTAACAGTGTGCATATGACACGTGGACAACGGGGGGGATGGCACAGTGTGGATATCAGGAGTGAACTTCTCACACGTAAAGATGTGCCACAAACAGGCGCACGCCCGGTTAGAGGCTCCCCTCCCCCTCAGCTGTGAACACGCAGACGCAGTTAAAAGATAGTCGCGTCATTGCTACGCTGCGAGGTGCGACACGCTTGTGAACTAACAATTTGGTCGAAGGGCTGGTGGGCTAGTATGTCCTGCACGTGGGCGTAAACGAAGTCGTCCCGGTTTTTACACTTCTTGAGGTAGTCCTCCCTTCGAATTCTCTGCATGGTGTCTCTCCTACAAACAAAACATCACTACCAAATAAACGTGTGAAGAGAATCAAGCGGGGGAAATGCGTCCGTTTTTTTTTTTTTTTTTTGTTTCTTCCCTTCCCCTTTCCTTCTCTTCCCTGTTGACACAAACACGTTTGATGTGAAGAAGGCGGGATTAAAAATATGGCCCTACGTCGCCTTTCGCCAAACGGTCTGCTCCACGTATACGTTCGTAAAGGGGTAGAAGAGCAGCGTCAACTGTCCCCTCAGGATTTTTTCCCAAGTAGGACTGTACAAATTTTGCTGCGGAAATATCGCTCCTTCCTGTTGGCGCCCTGTGCATTTAAAAAAAAAAAAAAAAAAAAAAAAAAAACGCACAGCGCAGCGAAGCGAAGCGACGGCAGGTTTACACGTATGACAAGGACACCGTTTACGCCTGTGCTCATTTTTTACACAACATACACCTCCAACATTGTGGATTCGCTAACCCTTTTAAAGTGGGGGTGAAGGACTGCACCATTTTTTTTTCACCACCTCACATCAGGCTGTGAATTTGCGCCATGGGGAAAAGTCACCCCATGAGTGCACTATAAGGAGCCGCTCCCTCTTCACATTACCATATTGGCACATGCACTCGTTTGTAAATTTGATCAAACGGTACACATAGGGCTGCATTGGCACAAATTGACCGGGTCGCAAGCGACGAGAGGCTCACCTAGTGTTCCACTTTGAAACGTGCAAGCGAACAATTGCACAAGTGTGCCGGTAGAGAGCCAAGTGACAGTAGAACAGAGACTCACTAATCTCTTTTTTTTTTTTTTTTTTTCACGCACATGCAGGTGATCTTGGTTATGATCGTCCTATGTGCAAGTGCAGCAGCAGTAGGGTGTGGGAGACACCACTGCAATCTTTTTCTTCCTCCACCCTGCAGGAGGCCATAATGGTTATGGCATTAAATAAAAAGAAAACAAATGGGGACAATATGAACCCACACCCCGGTATTGGAGAAAAACGGCGGCAGGTATACAACACTTTATGCTGGCGGCTCCTGTGGTCTGCTCTTTTGTCCTCTCCACAAGTGGCAATGGGAGGTAGACAAAAAAAAGATACTTGCATTTTCCTTAGCATGTTTTTTTTTTTTTTTTTTTTTTTTTTTTCCCCTTGATGGGGGTAAGAATAAAAAGTTTCTTAAAAAGGGAACTTAAAACTTATTTGTGCTCATCGCTATAAAAAAGGTCAAGTCTACACATCGTAAATCAAAACGTTTCAAAAAAGAAAAAAAAAAAAAAAATCAGGATGGAGAAATTGGGCGGTGCATTTAATGATGAAAATAATATGTAAAGGGGGCGGCGGATGGGTGAGGCGAAAAAATGAAGAAAAAAATGAAGGAAAAAAAAAATAATCAAAAACAAAAACTTAAAAAGGTTGCTGCAAAAAATACTCGGTAAAAAAAAAAGAACATACTAAAAATTTCCCTTTTTTTTTTTTTTTTTTTTTTTTTTTTTTTTTTTTTTTTTAAAAAAAAAAAAAAAAAAAAA